TTCAAAATATTAGGAATGCATTAGTATATATTACGATCTCTCCTAGTAAAAAACAAACATTTAAAGATTTTTGTGCCGAATTAGGGGTGATGACTGCTAAAACATTTGTTAGCGACGTAGGTCATAGATGGAACTCTACATACTTGCTATTAAAATCACGTGAAAGTTTCGAAAATTTAATAACTGACTTTTATAACAATAGACATATTAGAAGTGATGACGATGGTATGTTAAATGAATCCGATTGAATTTTAGTTTTGAAAGTTAAACGATTTTTGATATCTTTTTATGAGACCACAAAGATTTTATCTGGCATTTATTATCCCGCAAGTTGTATGGTGCTTGAACGCCTTTATATAATTGCAAGAACATTCCATAAATATAAAAATGATCCTACTTTTAGTGAAATTTTAATTGCTATGGAATTAAAGTTTAGAAAATATTGGGAAGAACTGCCTAAGTTATTTCCTTTAGCATGCGCAATGGACCCCGATATAATATTTCGGGAACTAAATACGTAATTGATCAAATTAATAAAATTTTAATACTTGATACACCTATTACCTATAAGAATTTAGAGCAAATATTATGTGGAATGTATGATTTATATGCGGAAAGAATGGGTGCGAATGTTAGTCGGGTACTCTCTGCTGCACCTACTCCTTCTGCTGAAACTGAAGAAGATGTTGCGAAAATAATGAATTTATTTCAGGGCATTAATACATGTAAATATGATGCAACTGCAATGTGTTCATCTAGTGCTATGTCGTCTACATCTGCATCTCATCAAACATCGGTTGAAACTCAAAATGCGATGCCTGTCGAATTAATTGATTATTTCAATCATAATATGCCAACAGACAGAACAATTAAAAAAACTTCAGAATAAGTAATTGAATTCTGGCGAAAGTATGAAAGACGTTGGCCAATTGTTTCTGCAATTGCGAAAGATCTATTGACACCTCCGGTTAGCACTGTTACTTTGGAGTTTGCTTTTAGTGCAGGTAAAAGGGTTTTGATCGATGTCAGGAGCCGACTGAAAGAAGATGTTTTGGAAGCGTTAATGTGTGTGAAGGATTGGCAGGACGCTCATTTTCGACTACAAGATAAATACGTTGAAATTGCATGTCGTCAGGTAAGTGATATTTGATTTAATTATATTAATCAAATTTTTTTATTTTTTAATTATTAAATTTAATTTTCTTTAAAAAATTGTACATATTACAACAAGTTGTTCGTGTACAATTTTTAACTCCGCCTACTTAATCACAATTTTTATTAACTTTAAAAAGAAATCAAAAAAATATATTTTTTATAAATGTATTTTAAAAAATAATTCGTTTTCATTATATAAATATTTTATAGTTTATAAAAAGTATTACAAATTACAATATGATATAAATAAATAAAAATAAAAATTTTTTTTCGTTAAATTATTTGTATTTTTTAACACTTTTTATTTTTAAAACTCTATTCTTTATTAACTTTAAAAAGAAATCAAAAAATATATTTTTTGTAAATGTATTTTAAAAAATAATTCGTTTTCATTATATAAATATTTTATACTTTATAAAAAGTATTACAAATTACAATATGATATAAATAAAAAAAATAAAAATTTGTTTTCGTTAAATTATTTGTATTTTTTAACACTTTTTATTTTTTAAACTCTATTCTTTATTTAAAAAAAAAAAATAGGTGAGCCCAAGAGCTGAGCTCGTGGCATTAAGGGCAGAGTCGGCTCGACTCGGCCCATTGCCAACCCTACTATCGCCGCCACTTCCACGACCACCACCACCGCCTTACCACTGCCAACCAACATCACAACCACCATCACCCAAAAACCAACAACAAATCAGATCACACAATCAATGCCACCACTATAGCCACCACCAAGATATGAAAATACAACCAACAAAACCCCAAACACACCAACAATGCCTCGAAATCACTACATGCAGATTGAAGTTGGAGCCGATCCTGTGAAGTTGCAGTACACCTAAACCAGCAACGATGCAGTCGGTTATGTGCAGCTGCCATCCAAGCACGACGATGCTGCTGGCACTGCGAGAGTCATTACACCGGTCGTGTGCAATTGCTTCCCGCAGCCCAAACCATCATGACCATCGAGGCTGGAGCCGGAGCCTCCTTTTTTGTACTTGTTACCGGAGCCAACAAAAAGAGGAAAGAGGAAGGTCGACACCGATAAAGCATGAAACCGATGGGCAACGGTGATGAGATGAATCCAAATGGGTGGAGGGAGAGAGGTTAGCGAGAGAGAGAGAGAGACAAGATATGAGAATTGAGAAATGATTTAGGGTTTGTTTGGCTAGAATATACAGTACCTGATTTGTGATTAAAAAAATTTCCCACCTGATTTTTGCATTTTCATCTTAAAATGTCAAGATTTCTGTAATTTCCACATAGAACAAAATAACCTTCAAAGTAAAAGGCTTAGGCTAGCCCACTATACAAGCCCAATTAAATAAAAATAAAACCAACTGGTCCAATCCATGACATCCCTTCTACTTAAATTAACCTTGTCCTCAAGGTTCAAAGTCGGGATGTCTTCTTTGTATGAAATTAGTAGCCGCCTCATTCTCTTCACCATCATTGGATTAAGCAAGTAGTGCAAGATGACAGGTGCATTATTAGCGACAATCTTCTTGATCAATCCAGTAACTCTATACAATTCTAATTGTGTACTCCAAAACCAGACTGAATCCAAAGAAATAAAAACAGAAACTGATGAAGCTGAATTCTCAGCATCCAAAAACATACTGCTAGACTTTCCATCATAATGGTTGTTATCTTCTACGAGAGTTTTGGTGGTTTGATCATCATGAGGTGCAAAAGACTTGTTTACATTATTGGGGGTTGATTTTGGATAAACACCTTCTCGGACTTCCAAGCCACAAGTTTCAACACTCCTACTTATTGCAGTTAATGTGGATGTGTTAGCTTCCACTTCAATATTATCTTTCATAGAATTGGAATCACTCAAAGCTACATAAGGGCTAGGCATGGTCCCGATTGGCTTAACTGAATGGGCACTCAAACTCTTCTGATGTTCTTTCATTGTTCCTAGCTGCCTTATCTTGGCAACGGATTCAATTACTTCCTTTCTCGACATTTCTGAAAACCTACTGCAAAGTTCCTCAGAGAATAAACTCCAATCTACACTAGAATGGTTTTCAATGAATCCATGAAACCATACATAAGCTTTCCCTTCCAAGTACTTCTCAGCAATTTCCAATCTAACTTCATCGGGGATTTGATGAAGGTAGAAATATTTCATGGCTTTTCTTAGACATTCCCTAGGTCCCTCTTCCCCAAATGGAGGTAAATCGATTTTTTTGCGACTTAGTATCCCTCCTATTATCACCCTTAACATTTTTACCCAACTCCTGGACACTAGATCCTTGTAATGACAATACACTATTAGATATCTGGTTAGACATAAATCCTTCTATCCCTTTGTTTTTCTGTTCTATTCTAAGAACAATAGATGTTTGTGTCAACATAGCTACCATTTTCTCATAATTTTGATTCATATCTAATAAGGTATTCTCATTTTTTCTTGCCTTTGATCAAATACCTGGAGGGTATGATCTCTTGATTTCAGTTTGACCTCCAATCTGTTGGTAGCAGACTTGAATGAGTTACCCGAATCAGCAATCTCCAGACCCAGCTTTTTCACATGTTCATCAACTGCCTTAGACCTTGTATCCATGACTATCGATTGCCCGGTATAATATGTCTGTTCTGATACCACTTGTTTGGTTGGAGCTCAACTTCAACCAAAATCAGTTAATTTCCAATCGAAATGAGAAGAAGAAGAACACTAGAAGGAGAAAGAAGAGGGAGAAAAGCAGAACACAATAAGAAGAAGACAGCAGCAGAAAAAGAAAAAGAAGAAGAAGAAAGAAAGCAACAAGAAGAGGGTAGAACCAGAGAAGGAACGAAGAAGGGGACAAGGGGAGAAAACAATAACTGCAAGCCAAAGCCTCAATTTCAATTCATTCAACGACGTTTTTCCAAAGCTTTCAATACAACCTATATAGAACAAAACAACCTTCAAAGTGAAATGCTTAGGCTAGCCCACTATACAAGCCCAATTAAATAAAAATAAAACCAAATGGTCCAATCCATGACAGAAGACGAACAATTTTTGCCAATCGCAAAGCCTGGAACAATCGAATTGGGGGAGATTGTTGAAGGAAATTGATTTAGGGTTCACAAATTAGAATTAGGGAAAATGGGTTTCATGATCATGTTTTGTAATTGAAATCGCATCCCTCATGACCCGAGTTTCACGCCATCGGTTGCCACATGGACTGTCGTCAAGCCACTTGAGATTGTTTCAAGGACCATGCTTGCACAAGCATGTTGTACACCATGCCGTGTACAACCACCTTAATCTTTGTTTCAAACAGTAGGCGTGCTGAGTGATGGATGGAGTGCGCATTTGTAAGTTCAGTGACCGTTCAACAACAAAACAAAGTCCAATGACTATAATGTGACATTGTGCTAAGTTCAGTGATTAATGAAACTTTTTACTCATCTTAGGCTTCAACAACTTATGTACCTCCGAATTTCCTATTCGAAATACCTATTTGAAAATTTTTAATTTAAGTAAAAGTTAACAATGAATTTTAACCACATTTTTTATGGGACCCACAACATTTCATCCACTTTTATTAAAATTTACTAAAATTTTAATTTTAATCCCCATCAAGCTGAGACCAAATATATGACTCATGTAATCGAAAATGTCAATGTAAATAATAAAATTTATTTTCCTGTATTAAAATACAAAAATGACAATTCAATTAGCATTTTTATCAAATTCGCTGAAATTCACATGCAATTCTATTCTTCCACATTGATAACTTTGGTCATTGAGGACTTCAAGTGAGAACTGAAAACTTCACTTTTAAAAGTTGATATTCCAATTCAGTCGCAAATTTCCTACAATAAATTACCTAAGAAATATTGAAAAAGAAAAAGGTAAACAGAGAGTAAAATTTCCTCGAGCAATATTGTTCCCTATAGTTAATTTTTTGTATTGGAGTACAGAGTAAATCAGTCTTGAAATAAAGGCCATGCCATTCCTTATAAGGAACGATATGGCACCAAACTGGACCTGGCATAATGAACGGTATGGACTATTAAAGAATAGTAACTTATAAGCTTATTTACTGGTAATTTGGTACTCTCTTTGGAGTATACATCAAGAACTATAAAAGAAAAGTAACTTATAAGTAAGGCTAAATGTCAATTTTATTCAACCCATGAAGCTCTCGTCCAGATGAAGTCTTGCCAACCTTCAATGCTCAGCGTCGCTGCTTCGAACTGAAGGAGAGGTCCCCATTTCGATGGCCACCCTGTTAGGTTCAAAGTAGTATTTTATCAATGCATTTTTGCCTCGTCTTGATGTATGCTTCTATCATGAATACAGAATCTTCAGCTATTTTGGATTAGCTCCAAAACCTGAGTCTTCCCCAACAACAACGTTGTATTCTTCAGCCTTTTATGTTGAACGATGTATAAATCTCTGCACAAACTGATAGCCTCCATTGAAGTAGAATCAGGCAGTCTAGAGCGGAATTCCATCTTTCTTAGTCCAATGCTTTGTATTCTACCACAGTATCATATGTTTCCATCGAGAAAGAGCTCTCTGCAAAACATCTGCAAAAATGTATTGGGACCTTTTTCCATTAGATTGTATATATGAGCAGAAGAAGAAAACTTAGATACACTCAAACCTACCCTGCCGGCATCCCCCTCCCCCTCACCAAGGTAAAGATAGAGAAGGAAGAGAAAAAAATAAAATAAAATTGAAAAGTTAAAACACAGAACAGAGTGGAAAGGGAAGATTATAAACAAATGAAACACAGCCAACATGCACACCAATCGACAGCTATTTTGGGTCAGGAATCATAGATCTGTTCAAGAGTGAGTGATAATATCTCGTAGATTTGATTCAGGATAACTTCCTATTTATTTTCTAACAAACTGTATATGCTAAGTTTATTTAGATACCTCAGCACGATAAAAATGTCTATCAAATGAGCCATTTTCAACAAGAAAAGATTCAGTCTTAAAGATAGTTTCGTAGTACTGAATAAATCTGAAATAGGCAGAATGATAATTCTGTGCAGATAATGTACCTAAGTTCATGCCAAAACATATCTGTTTGCTCATGAAGAAATGGCCGCAGAGATGCAAGAAAATCATCTTCAGTGCCCACTTGTTCTGGAAAGCCTTTATGCTTCTTTTCATGTCTTGAGAAGAAAATCGAGGTGGCAACATGTACAATGATGGTGGGATCTGGATCCCCAAGAACAGCCTGCAGCTCCCTCTGTATCCATGGTTCTATTTTCTTTAGTATTTTTTGTTTTATGCCATTATGCCCTTCCATTTTCTGAAAATATGAATTAGGGTGAAGTTAAAAACGTTTACATCCATTTATTGCAACACCATGGGCTACCTAAACTCAGTTATTGCATCAATTCCTACTCTCCTTACAGGAAAGCTTGGTCTGCCCAATTGAAAAAGAAAATCGCATTTAAACAAATACTTAGATCAGTCTCCACAAACATTCTTATCTAGTCACACATCAACTTCGCGTCATAGTTTAGAAAAAAATTGTACTGAGCAAAGAAGAAACTTCGCTTAATAGCTTTGTCAAATGATCTACACCCTGTTTCCGGTATCAGGGTACAGGGAGAAGGAAATTATTCATTTTCAGCTCCGGTAAGAACTTCTATTGGGTTTAATTTTATCAGATGACCAATCTCCAGTCTAGCATATTGATAAACTCTTCAGGTGCATTTAATTGCCAATATTTTCCATGAAAAATATGTTTTTTTCACCCAAATTTCTATTTGTGTGCTGTTTGATTGCCATTTTTTTTCCATGGAAAATATTTTCCTACTTTTGGTCACGTAATCATATTTTCCTCAAAATCTAGGAAAATATTTTTTTTAGAGAGAGTAAGATTTTATTTTCTAGAAAATTCACTCTCTCATCTACCCACCAATAAAAAAGGACAAGTATAACATTTTTTTAGGTTAAAAATTAAATCAATCAAACACATTTAATCGATAATTTTCACGCAAATAAATTCTAGACAATTGAATTACCTAGAATTTATTTTCTTTTCATGCAAATTCCATGATTGCAATCAAATGCACCTTCATGAAATTGAAGATAATAGCCTTGGCATATTGCATGTACCTGAACAAGAAATGTCTTCGAAGAGAGGGGAACAGCTTGCAACCTCTGCTCGTATATACTATAAAAGACCATATAATCCAATTATCATACAAGAAAACACAGTGAATCAACAAAAATTATCTTTGAATCATTTAGCTTCACTTACGATAAGCGCATATTTCAGAAACATGAGATCATTTTGCAAGGCAATATACTACCTGGCACGCCACTGTTTGACTCTTTCAGCAATAATATGAGGGTGCTCATGACCTTCATGTCCAAATGTTCGTTGCCTTGGCAACGACCTCACTCGAGACCTCGCATTTCTTGATTCTTCTCGGGATCTCGTAATTAACCTGAGCAAGATTTGGGCGAGAAATTGAAACAACAGAAATGTTTTCAAATTATGTGGAGCTCTATAACAAAAAAGAAAGAAAAGGAAAGAAAATGCAGATGAAAAACATCCCTTGCGTTATATTTCAAAATGAGCTTCTTGTTAATTGTTTTATAACAGTTTAAGGGATATATCTCCCTGCAAAACATTTTTTTTTTCTAGTAACCAATATTTCCCTATCCAAAAAGTTTACTTTAAATTCAACTGGATAAAAATACAATATTTCTAATACCACAAACTTAAAAGAATATACATTATTCATTAGAAGAATAGGATGATTATGCTAAATTACACTGCTTTTTAATTATTCTTTCCTTAATTCATCTAAAATTCAAAATTCAATCCTCCAATCTTGTTTTCGTCCAATTCAATAAAATTCCCGTAATGTATTTCAAATAAAACTAAAAAATGCAACATAATTAAATAAAAATAATTAACCTTTGTTCGAAAAATTGAGTTCTTCGTCTCCGGAATGCGTAATCATCCCGGAAAGTCAAATTTACCCTTTTATCCTCCCCAGACGGCAATAAATTTTCTTTCTCAAATTTCCTAGAAGAAAGGTTGATTTTGTAGAACCAAGAATCGAAATCCGTGTTGCAAAGAGGGCACTTTCGCTTCAGGTCGCTCCACCTGCGGATGCAGAGGGTACAGTAGGTGTGCATACATGGGATAACCACTGCCGCATCGCGAATTTCCACGTGTCTCAAGCATATTGGGCACGATTTTCCGACCACCGATTCTGCGATTCGCTTTGAAAATGATCTTCCATGGGAATCCATAAAGCGAGACTGGGTCAATAAGCGACTCGGCGGGTTTTTATTGTATTCGAGTTCTAACTGAGCAGACAGTCGAGATAGACGAAGAAGAAGAAGGTTTACCAGGAAATTGCACATTTGGTTCCAACCTTTCAAAACTATTGCAGATCTATCCCAACCTTTTAAAATAGCACCAAACATCTCAATGTTTGAGGAAACGGTCATAGTTCGTCCCAGTTGACAGAATCTGTCCAATTTGACCGTTAAAGTGTAATGAAATGACAAATTTGCCCTCCGTTTGGGAAAAGTAGACCCACCTATAAAGGAGGGAAATCAACCACCAATTTCAGCATCTGACCATTCACGGCCACCTCATAAAAGTACAATTCAACGATCAACATTGCCTTCAACCACTTCAAAATTGCAATCACCGTATACCACCATCGTCACAAAAGTAAAAGAGAGCTTCACGTGTTTAATAGATAGGTCATTACAAGGCAAAGCACCTAACACAAGGCCAAATTTAGAAAAGCAACCAGGGGGATAAGGCCAAATCCAATTCCAAAGGACGAGACTCACATTAATAAAAGCACATAGCAACAACAGTCGCACATGGCATAATTAACATAGAACTTATCTCAAAAACTTCTAAGACATTATATAATGTGTCCAACAATCAAGCTTGATAAAATGTATACTTCAATTACCAATCTAGTGAGTCAACGACAAGCAGGAGCACCAATTAAGAATACTTGTCCTTAATGTAACGTACATACTCGACTAGTATATGTTATTCTTTTGGGATTATCCCACGACAATAACATTAATTTGATGGATTTAGTCACCACTCTCTCAAGTGTTCAAGCTCTAATCAAGTCCGAGGTTGGATATTATGCGAGGGGAAAAAATTTATAACTAAGAGGTTAAGTATTACTCATTTCAAAATTAAGAACAAAGGTTTCAAATTTCTAAAATCAAATATTTATTAAAATTTATTTATGATTTAATTAATTAATTACATATTTTATTAATTAAATAAAGGTTACACATCTATACATTTTGGTGACAAATTAACGATTTAGTTAGTCACATATTATTTTTCGATCGCAAATGAGAATTTGTATGTCATAAATTATTTTACGGTTACAATTCAAAAATTTTATAGATCACAATTTATTCGTCGGTCACAAATCAAAATTTTTATTATAAGTCACAACTTATTATATTCTCACAAGCTATCAACTTATTATTCAGTCACAATTTATTTATCGATCACAAATCACAAATATTATAAGTCATAACTTAAATTACAATCACAAATCATCAAATTATCTGTAGCAAATTCAAAATTTTTTAGGTCACATTATTTCTCATTGGTCACATATTGTTTATTGGTCACAGATTAACTAATATAATGGTCACAACCAACCAAATAATTTGTGAGCACTACCAACACTTACGACCATTATCTCACTACTACCATCAACTACTCCACCACCACCTCAAACAAATCAATGCATCACAGAAAACACCACCATATCGTCGCGCTAGATTCATCACCACGAAAAAAATTATTACAATCACCGTCATGACCACAAATCGAGACCCATTAGATTCGCCACCGCCACTACCACCACCACCACTTGGATAAAAAAATTGATGATTTCAACACCACTACCACCTCCACCACCAACAGTCGCCCATCTCTACCATGCTACACCGTCATGACCAACCAAAAAATTATTAAACCTACTATCACCATAGCAGCCTCCACTACCACTACCACGACGACCACCAAAACGACCACTGCCAACAATGCACCACCACAACCACATGCATCCATCATCGCTAAAGCCACCACCATCTCTCGACAGCAAAACTATTATCTCAACTACCACTGTCACCAACAAAATCATAGCCACCACCAAATCCAGTATACCTTCGCCACCCTTGGATCCAACAAAGCCACCACCACCCAAACACCACCACCATGAGCACCACTACCACCTCAATCCCTATCCAACAACTGAAAACACACCCAAAAACCCATATCAGATTACGGATCTACAGATCCCAACCACGATGCATAACAGATCTCGACCACGGCGTACAGCAAGGCTGAATCAGCAATGAGCGTCGCTGCAGGCAGCACAGCATGCTGCAATGCGGTGCCTAGCACCATTGCACACAACCATCACCTCGCCATCACTAGAACTAAAATGCTGCTAGTTGTGTATGGTCATGTCGAAAGCGTCATTTGCGGCGCTTGCCTCCAGTGGTCGGCGTGTGGATTGCCTTCATCGATGGTGGTTGTGTGCAGCTTGGAGATGGTGGTTGTGTGCAGCTTGGTGATAAAGATGAGGTGAGAGAGAATTAGGATTTGGGATAGAAATTGTGTGGTAGATGAATTAGCTTTTGAATTGTTATAGTTAGTAAAAACATTTATTTTATATATATTAATTAATTAAAAAATCTGATTTTTAAATAAACAAACTTTGAATCTGATTTTTTAAGTTGGATCTTAACACATATAGATATGGATTGATGTAATTTCCCCTCACCGAAGAGTTAGTCACCTCAGGCCCACAAAAATTGAGGGCACAAAAATCTGAACAAAATTGAATAATACAATATACAATTTATTGAAAATGACATTAGAGTACGTTATATATAACATTTGAGGCACTAAAATTCCAAATTCTTCAAGGTTATACGTAACACTTAGGTAATTGAGATTTAGAAAATAAGCAAAGAAAAACATCGAAACTTGTACTATCACAAGATTAAACAAATAAAAAAAGCAACTCGTGCTTGGATGAAAGGTGCATCAAACGGCATTTGCTAAAGAGATTAAAGCTAGTGCAAAAATCAGAGAGTCGATTTTCAACCCAAAATGTAGAGAAAACTTACTAAGCCAACATGCAAAATTTTAGCTAAAACATGGGTCCATACACGAACATAGTGCAGTTTGAATGATCCAAACATTGTACAAAACACAAACAATTGTCCAAACACCAGCATCCTCTCATACCAACGATCCAATTACTAGCCACAAAATACTAAACTTTTTATGAAATCTTCATAACCAGTCCAAGGTTCCTGTTTACTGAAATTTATTTTAGCCATGCAAGGCATGCTTCGTCGACACATTTCAAAAGACTAAACAACTGGTTTTTTAATAACATCGACCCTGTAGATGCTCCCCCGAATGCTTTTTTCATGTTTAAGTTTGCATGAATCTCCTGTCTTGACATTGTTTTTTTCACAAAATTGTTTCCAGCCATCTGAAAATGATGTAATGCTGAATATGGTAGTCTGAAGCATTGGCCAGAGTCTGCTGGCTGAATCTCTAAGGTAGACAACCAGCCCGTGCCCTCCCTCATTTTCTCCTTCAATTGGTGGAAGAAATATCGGTAGTTCCTGGTCACGTATGACAACAATGTTAAGAAATCAAAGCGTTCAGGTGTAAAAAGTATCTCAGCGCACAAATGAAAAGAAACAGTTGTTGAAAATTGTTGTCTTTTTGTACCAGTCGACCATCTTTAACTATGCAGTATCATCAAATGAATATTATTCAAAGATACAAAGTACTAATAATTTGTGTTTTTAGCTTTTAATAAACCATGGTGAAAGTATTGATTTCTATCATTCCATTGCCAAAATCTTGATGCCACATCTATATCTACCAAATTTCAAGACCTGGATATGACATCCGATTTCATTATTTTAAATTTTGGAGGAACCCACATTAAAAGGATGGAAGTCCAAACAAATTATTATGAAAACCTAAAGTATGTGAAAGTTACTCAATTTGCGTTTACCAATTACTATATGATTGATGACAAACAAATGGAGAGCATGCATAAATATTAAGAAGAATAAGAATTCAACTTCCGATCGCATCAATTTTGAGATACAGGGGGAAAAAGTTGATTTTTCTGTTTTTATGAAAGAAAAGAACTTTAGTTTAACAAGTAGTGACATACCAGGTACGATAGGAATTTCACTTCCAGTAAAAGGAAAGAGACTGCAACATCTGAGTCCAAACCAGATGACATATCTTTCATGGCTTGTAAAGCTACCTGTGCAGATTTCGTTTCCATGTTTGGCACTTTTCCTGTATCGTGTCAAAAAATTCCATGTTCAACTAACAAGCTCAGCTCTCTGTGTTGATGAAAATTTGCTGCAAAACATATGCATAGACATGCCTCTACACAAGAATTAGAATAAATGATTCACTAAGGCTCAAAATGAAGAAGAAAGAGCAAACCTACCTACCGTTCCCCCACCTGTTTGGTTTGGAAAAAGTCTGGGACGGATCAATCGGAGTTAAAACAAGACACAAGACAGTGATGAAATGACACAGAAAGTCAAACTCTTATTAACTAGGTGCATGCTAATAATTTTTTTCTTCTTAGTAGTCCACCTATAACATGCCATAGATGTGTAAATAAAATTAAAGTAACAAAGAAGTACATACCAAATGGATTCTTCAGCAAGATCTTTTCTTGACCCTGCCTAGATTTTTTCTTTTCTATACCCCTTCGACTATTAAAATTCACTATTTCCCGTCCACTTCTTCCATATATTCGAACATCAAAGTTACCACCCTTGATGTAGGAGAATATCAAAAGATGCCCAACCTCTAGACCATGGTCTATTGCAAATTCATGCCATCCCTTCTTGAATGCCAGGTAACCATCAATACTGGATATTTTTACAGGCCACTGCCTCCCAGTTGAATCCACCAAAAGAGTGTGTTGACCAATAAATTGTTGCACTTTTTGAACAAATATTGGTGGCAAGTACTGCAAATGAATTACAATTTTTCAGACAAGTGTATACTCCCAAAGGGAATCTATCATGAAATGATTTTTGTACATAAAAACTAGTGTACCACACATCTGATCTTAGGTGATCAACTTATCCTACATTAGATTATAACTCCAAATTTTGAAGACAAACGTGAAAGAGGGGAAGAAAGCAGATCAAACATAGTTATTGGAAAATTTTCGCATGGGGTGACTCCTTTTAACAGGATCAGAAAAGCATTTCAAAATTTCGGTTTCATTGGGGATCCCAAGGTTGAACATCTCGATATTAAGCATACGTATTATTTTTTATCAAGACGAACATTTTACTCATTTATAGTTGAAGAATTTATGTTATCCTGATAGCTTTTCCATGAGAGTGTGCAAACATACTCCAACTTGCCCTTTTTTCCTAGTCTTAACTGTGCTCCTTTACAATTGGACGAAGCCAAGGTTAGGAAATCAGCCTAGATATGCTCGAGTTTGCATTGAACATGGCATTTTGGCTGAAAGACACCATTGAATTTGGATTGTGTATGTACCCAACGTCAAAGACGAGGGATATTGGCAAGAATTTGTTATGGGAAAATTCCAAAATATTGCTTGAATTGTAAACTCACAGGGTACTCTGCAGATTTTTGCAAAATCAAGAACCAAGACCTATACCGAGGAGAAATTTTTTTTTTGAAGGAAAATAACAAATGGCAGGCAATATAGGCATTTCAAAGCCCCTTTCGATGGTGGAGCATGGAGGAGTGAGCAAAAGCAAAACTCGTTAAAGTTATAATTTCAAAGAAACCGAAAGATGGCTCTGTGGAGATAAATTAACCTTCAATCAATAATCAAAACACAAAGTTAAGCAATATCAATTGATAATCAGAGAATGAACACTATAAATTCAATAATGGAATTGGCACCAAAATGGATTGTACAGGGCTCAGATCAAACCCAAACCATAAGGCAACTCCAACAGCAGACTATCTCAATGAATTTCACACCACAACCACATAGGAATCACCAAGGCAGCCAGAGGTCACAAAGGAGCCAGGGACAGATTCAAGGCCAGGAAAGGAAGCGCGGTCAAACAGAGACCGGATAAGGCAGCCGGAGGTCAAAGAACCAAGGTCACAAAAAAGAAGCTGCACTTTCTCTCAAAGAGAATAAAGGAAACCATGTGTATGTATTATAATATCTACAAAGGGCCAAGTAAATAATATATAGGTGATGCTCCATGTACATCAGGATGTCCATAACAGTGTTCACCCCCTCACATAAAGGGAGATCCACTTCGAATAAAATATAATTTATCCAAAGTGGGTTCACTTCCATGTAAGTGGGTGGGCACCATTATCGACACCGCATTACATACAAGTAGCATATTCCATAATACACATAGGTGCCACAAGAAATAAGTTAAATAACCAAGTGGGTCTGGCCTCGCACATAATAATTATTCACACAAGAGTCTTGGCTCCTCTCTAGCAATTGGGTTGCAAATTGTGGTTTTGGTCAACTTATTAATTAAAGATTCAATAACGGACTTCTAATGAAGCCTACGAATATTATTTCGACACGACTAGTCGCAGTCTCGGGTTTATTTGGTATCAAAATACCCAACAGGCTCTTTCCCCTTGGTGGCATGAGGCATAGCAGAAGGCCTTCCGGGCGGCTGAAGGAAATGGTAAAAGAGGGAACGCAAAAATTTGAAAGGTAACTTGATACATATGGAAAAAAGGCCGGCGGAGGTTGGTCATGAGTCTTCAGTTAGGAATGGTCTGATATGAGCAATATATGTAACTGGACATGGAAACGTGTTACAAATCTTTTTCGAGGCCAAGGGAGTATAATGAGACACCTATGAATGTGAGGAAGCTATAGATTTTCCGAACATGAGGTTCCATAATACGTTTACTCAATCTCCTTCAAGTAGAGAATCTTAAAGTGAATAGGAGCCAAAAAAAAAAAAAAAAAAAGCCTACGGTAACCTTATGATTACGAGTATGGCTAGATCATATATAGTGTAGGTTTTTTAACTTATAAATTTTTCTCACCTATATATAAACAAGATAAGTTATTCTCTTCTACTCATTTAGCTAAGATTAGGTTGAGAACCTTCCAAAGTTTGTACTAACTTTATTCTTTTTTAATAAAATATGACATCCCTAGTAGTTTAAATAATAATAAAAATATATGTATATAGCCCGTGTTTGAGACCCATTATTTAAAACTAAATTTTTCCATAACTCATTTTCAATCAAACATTCTTCCAATAAAATAATCTTACGCGTAAACCTAAAATTTTAACTATACTTTCTCCTAAAAAAAAATACTTTTTACGAAATTCATTCTCGAAAAATGGGGCTCAAACACGGGCATGGAAATGAGAGGCCAAAACTAATGATTGTTTGGAAAGTTATCATATAAAAAGTTATAATTATAGACATGTAAGACATGATAAATTATACAAGGATATAGTAAAAAAGAGAAACAATGTGATACCAAAACATCTGAATAGCCATCGCCGAACATTATTTTGAAAAAGCGGAAAACAAAAGGTGATGGATTTTTCTTCTTTTGACTTTTACTAGTGCGAGCCATATCTTTCCTCTTGTGATAAATCCTCTTCACAGGGCACGACCTACATATACGTGCATACCATTACAAAAGGTTCAAACAACTAATTATCACTGAGAGGAAATGATATGTCAATAGGATCAAACATGAAGCTTAGAGGATAAAATTAATCAAATAAGGAGAATAGTCATTAATTCATATATATGTTTACAAAGTAGTGTTTGAGACAAATAATTCTTATTTTCCCAATAAGGATTGATACCGCAAAGAAGTGAAAAACGATAACTTTAAATGAAAAATTACTTGTCCCCCAAATAGAATATACAATGAATTTAATTAATATTCTTAGAAAACAAAAATTCAAAATTGAATGACATGAAAAGATAAATAAATAAAAACTCGAAATCGAAAGACCAAAAAAATCTCAAAGAATGCCGCATCATTCAATGATATATATATATACACAAACACACACATATGTGTGTGTGACCCCAAATTTTTTAAACAAGACTAAAATCTAAGTTGTGTGGAGCTTTCATTATAGAACCAGAGAATAATCACTTCAATTAAATTGTGCCATAGCAATGTGTCATATCACCATTCACACATATCATATCAAAAATCCAAAATTAAATAACGGGATAAACACATGCACCTCAACCTTACTTAATATGTTGCTTTCGGAAAACTTTGACGATGAAGAATGTTTCTCGATGGAACCCGAGGCTTTAAAACCTGGCTTTCTTCTTTTGAATGAAATTTTTCCGTTTGGAATGTGTGTGTTTGTTAATTGAGTAAAAGACGGAATTGAAGAGAGTTTGGTCATGACCTTTGTGAAAATTTATTACATATTAATTGTCAGGTCAAACATTAGGTAAGCATTTATTACAGTCCTTCATTTGGTTTAAAAAAAAAGAATAATAATAATAATAATACTTTTCTGCAAAAAGGTATGCATGAACGCTTGAACTTGGATTGCTTGTTTGTACCTCCATTCACCATACCACATTGCAAACTTAAGCCAAACTATGATTAAGCTTCAATTTCCTACATTGGCTAAGCACAAGGCCCATCTATTGGTAGGGTTCATAATGCCAAATTATCAAATTTAAAAGACAGACATAAAAGCACGAAAGTTTTAGGACGACTACAACTCTTGCCGATGATAGGCATTCTAGATGACAATTAATTGGTGGAACACTTATCCCAACATTTACAATGGCATGTCAATTAATACTACTTGATTACCACCTATACTGCGGGTTATTAGCAGCTATAATAGATAGCATGTGGCGGAAAAGACATTCAAGAAGCTAAACAAGTCCAAGGGAAAAGAGTCCCCTTAAGTAAAATGGACAAGTGTAGGTGGGAGTCTCTTTCACGATAGTTGAAGCAAGAGAAGGTGAGGGCCTCCCTCTAACTTGGCCATAATCGTCGAGCAAGAGTTGGCCCCCTCTATCTCTCTTTTACCCAACACAGTCGAAGGAGATAGGTGGATCTTCCAAGGCCTGACCATCTGAATGGCGTGCTCAGGTCTGATAGGTCAGCAGTTGGCTGTGGGCCAACTGATTAGACTTGTGGTGGGATTGGGCATTACTCGTTCACAAAGAGTGTAGGCCCATGGTTTTTTTTTTGAAGGATTCCATTTACTAAAGCCAATCCAAAAATTGCCTATACTCAATAATAACAACAAAGCTTTCAAAATTTTGCAGCAAACAGCTTTGAAAATAGAACCAATTATATATCCTCTTCTTATAAATAATTGCAGTTGAAAATTAAGAGACGGAAACTAAAACCCTATAAAAGAGAAAAAGGAACAATGAAAGGCTTGAGACATGAAATAAATCTTTTCCTGGGAACGATATTTGCTCTCAATATTTGAGATGCATTAATATTGGTTCACCAAGCTTTAAATGAGTTTGCACAAAACAAAAGGTGAAAACTCATAAAAGCAATACGATCACAACGAGCCCAGTCTTAGATGCTCATTTGCTTTGTATTACAATGTAAAATCTTCCTTGTCAAAGAAAAAACTTAATTAATGCAGAATAAATAGTAATGGCAAGAGTCCGGACATATTATGAATTTCCATCGTATTACAGGGGCATGAACAGTAGGTTTTGCCTCTATGAGCTGCAGCAATACGCTTTGTTCATTTGTCTCCATCACAAGATCCCATTTTAGTTCACATCTATACACTTTATTTTTTTCAGCCAAGGCTACTTCATTAACTGATGCAAAAACAAGGAAGCCATCTTTCTTTGTTTAAAAACACAGAGAATAAACACAAGCATTCATCGGACCTTGTCTTGTCCTTTCCATGATATGCAAATGAAGATTTGTTATTAGTGCTAGTAAATACTTACAGTCCACTAGGACTATGGATAAAGAAGAAAAGAAAATTTATGTATTTCAATAAAAAATTTGGCATCTTGTATGAGAAGACAATTTATTCTCAACGGTGTACAACTCCATCAAACAAAATCATCATGGAAGTCGACTATTTAAGTGAAAACTAAAATAAAACAATGTAAATTTTTAGGACATGTGCATATAGAAGTGACTCAAGTCAAAATCAGCTAAATATTTTGTTAGATAACCATTAGTGTAAATATTATACTAATCTTCTCTTTCGTTGTGCTTATTGTCATCCAGGTTGAGTTTCTATTAGTTTTTTTATTGTGTTTTGATATTTTAGGACGAATCCCGTTGTTGACAAAAATGATGAAAAAGAAGAAAATACACGTGCAATGAGAATAAGTAAAGATGGTAGAAAATTTGTTTTTAAGTAGGGTGAGCCATTTGCTTGCCTGATCTAGCAGGAACTGAAATGAAGGTTTGGTTGCGGATATTTTTGTTCGAGCCACCTATGAAAGAGGAAAAAAGAACCGCTGCAGTCAAGTTTCTCTGCAGCAAAAATTATTGTTGTTAGTTTATGGTACAAATCATTGTAATCAATGATTTATTGGGAAAAAAAAATTTCTTTTGCTTTCATTACAATAGAGTAAGGAGTAAGATGCTATCTCCTTCATACAAGAAAATAAAATCAGTAACTGAGCATCTATTAAATAAATTTTAGTTTTCATAATTGTACTTATAGAGAAAATTAATTAAGGGAACAATGATCAAACTAGTTAGAACTTAGAACCCCTATTGTATAGACTTAAGTAAACTCCGTTCATAGTGGTTACAAGGAAAAAGAGGGATAGTTGCTCTATCTCTTTCGGTGGCTCTAGCAATGGCAATTGCTGAAAAAGATTATGTAATGCATTCGGTGTCTATAGGAAACAAGAAATAGTTTGTTATTAAGTGTTATCGAGAAAAGAGAGCTCAGCCTACTCTAATATCTCACCCATACCACCTTTCTCAAGGCCTAACCTAAAGGCTTTGTTCAAATATAAGTCTTTCAATATTCATGTGCTCTTTCGATGAATGGTGCACTACATGGCAACTGGTACTGGAGAGAAAAAATGTCAGTGCATCCAAATGTAGAAAAAAACTTGCTAGGCCATCAATGTAGATTTCACTGCTAGTAAAGGCGCCTGTGCAGGTTTCATTGTCATGTTTGGCTCTTTTACTGTAGTGTGTCAATAAATTCCATGTTCAATTAACAACCTTCAATTGCACGTGTTCACGAGAATTTTCCACAAAACATATGCACAGACATGCTTATACGCAAGTATTAGAATAAAACATTTCACTAAGGCTGAGAATGATAGAGGAGCAAACCATAGACTCACTACTCGATGTTGGGTAAAGACCAATGCTACCTCTCCCATCTTGACTATTAACTAGTTCTATCTTTTCACCTACCATTTGCCCACTCGTATAATCTGGGAAAAGTCTGGGATGGACCAATGGAAGTCAAACAAGAGAGTAGATGAATTGACAAATTCTTATTAACCGCTATTAATGACAATAAATGAGATTTTAGCTTCTTATTCTTCTTAGTACTGCAATGCTATTAATCTACCTACATAGTGCCACAGATTTTAAACCAAGTAGGTAACTAAGAAATACAAACCAAATGGATCCTTCAGCAAGGGGGTTGTGACTGAACAGTCACGATTCTTGGGTATCAGAGCACACCCCCGTCCAGTAATCTCACTAGTGCCTGTAGAAGGAGCTTCATTACCTGAAGAAAAGAGCCCATCACTGCCTAATTTATCAGATGATCAAATGGTTAAAATATAGGGAGAAAGAAATGAACAATAACATAATATTTTAATACTGTGACAATAATAAAAGATACGAAACAATACCTTGAAGTACATTGTTTTTCTCATCATTCTGAAAGTTGGAGAAAAATTTTGACTTGCCTTAAGCATGTTACTATCTTGATCTGTTGCAGATGTACCAGAATGAACACCACAAGCCTGGCCACTAACATGATCCAGTGGCTCCATTGGAGATGACCAGAAAGAACACCACAAGTCTAACCCTAACATGATTCTCCAGGCTCTGTTAAATGCCATAGATCTAGTCTCCTTACTTATCTGGGAATCATCCCCAACTATTTCTCTACATAGAGCTTTCTCAACTTTACTGGTGTTGGTTACATCTTCCCCATATCAAAGACTAACAAGTCACATAAATAGGTTCTGTCATCGTTTTGATTGTATCCAGCATTTCTTTTGAGCAAAATAAATCCATTATGTGTTGTCATCCGCTTTTTAAAAATCATGGAGGAAAACTATTCAACAGTTTTGATATCACCCCTTTTTTACTATTTCTTCGGGTAATTTATCATATCTTACGTGCCTATATTTATAAGCTAAGAAGCACTGACACGGACACGTTGACACGCGATTTTTTAAAAAAGTTCCAACACGATATGTTTTCGACACGTTGATTAAAATATTAATTTTAACTTATTTTAATTTAATAATCTAAAATAATAATAATTTTTTTTTACATGAAGGGTGAAATGGTAAAAGAATAAAATCTTGCATGTTACTTTGTTAAAGAATAAATAAAAAAAAAAAAAAAAAACATATACTATCAAAATAAAAATAAAAATTGTACACTGTAGTGACTGTACGGTACATTTATGTGTCTGACAGCCTTTAATGTGTTCTTCTTTCTTCCACCGGTTGTCAGAATATCACACCATTTTTTTCTTTCTTTCTTCTTCATTTTTTCTTTACTTCTTCTTCACTGTTTTCCTCCAGCCCTCCAACACGTCGCAAGGAAATCCGACACGCGTCGGCGACGTGTCGGTGTCCGATACGTGTCAGACACCGACACGTCGACGCCGGCAACGTGTCCGTGCTTCCTAGTTTATAAGTTTCTATATGACAACTTTTCAAGCTAAAGCACTATTCTCACCCACTCCATTTCTATAAAAATTAGAAGCTGTTGTTTCAAAACATTATAATATTAAAAGTTATGTTTTATTTGCCTTCGTTCCCTCCACTATGTTTGTCTTCAAAATCTGGAGTTCCAATATGATGTAAGATAAGTTCTTTACCTAAGAATAGATGAGTGGTACGCTAGTTTTTTCGTTCAAAAATCATTCCATCATAGCTTTCCATTGGGAGTATCCACTTTTTTAAAATATTTATATTTTACTTGGAGTACTTGTCACCATTATTTGCTCAAAAAGTACAAAAATCGATTGGTCCACACACTCTTCTGCAGGATTCAACATGGAGACGGTGGCCTATAACAATATCACTATTGAAGTTTCCTTGGCATTCTAGAAGAGATAACATGAATTTGCACAAGATAATGGTCTAGATGTTGGACAACTCTGATATTATCCTACGTCAAGGGTCGTAACTTTGACGTTTGAATATATGTAAATAAATAAATAAAAAATGTGTGAAAGAGTAAATTTTAATGGTCAAAGGAGTATAGCAAAGAAAGATTTAGACAAGGTTAAGAAAAAGTTGTACAATACAAACTAGCTCATACGGTTGAAATGCAACAGGGAAACCTAGTTCAAGCATTGCGCTTGCATCTAGCTCGAAATTTTAGCATGACCAAAGACATCTTATCACAACAATTCCTTTCAATTCTCGTAGTGACTTAGGAAGGCTACAACCTATTCCCAATTGTTGCTATTGGATGTCTTTGGCCATGTTGAAATTTCAAGCCATATGCAACCGAAGTGCTTGAACAAGGTTTTCCCTATTGCATTTATATCGAGTGTCTGAACCGGCAACGTTTTGTATAACTTTTGTGACCTTGCCTATATCTTTTCTTTACTATACCTCTTTGACTATTAAAATTCACTAATTCACACACTTTTTTTTCTTATATTCAAACATCAAAGTTATGACCCTTGATGTCGGAAAACATTAAAAATTGTCCAACCTCTATACCATTATCTAATGCAAATTCTTGTCATCCCTTCTGAAATGTCAAGGAACCTTCAACAATGGATATTTTCATAGACCACTATCTTCCCGTTGAATCTTACACAAGAGCGTACTGATCAATCGATTTTTGCACTTTTTGAACAAATAATGGTGGCAAGTGGTCCAAGTAAATCACAATTTTTTAGAGAAGGTGTATACTCTCAATGGAAAGCTATGATGGAATGAACTTTGCACGAAAAAACTAGAGTACCACACATCTATTCTTAGGTAGAGAACTTATCCTACATCATATTAGAACTCCAGATTGTGAAGACAATCATGAAAGAGGATATGAAGGCAGATAAAACATAAGTTTTAATATTATAATGTTTTAAAATAATAGCTTCTAATTTTTACAAAAGTGGAATGGGTGAGAATAATGATTTTACTTGAAAAGTTGTCATACAGAAAGTTATAATTGTAGGCACATACGATATGATAAATTACATCAAGAAATAGTAAAAAAGTGGAATGGGTGATACAAAAATTTGCTAAATAGTCGTCCCTCACTATGATTTTGAAAAAGCAGATAACAACACATACTGGATTTATTTAATTTTGATTTTTGCCAACCAAAGCATCTCTTTCCTCGCGTGATAAATCCGCAGCCTGCATGTACACACATTCCGTTACAAAAGGTACAAACAACTAATTAGCATTGAGAGGAAATGACAAGAAAAAATGTCAAGGGCAGTAAAATCGACATGGAGCTTAAACGGATAAATATAATCAAACAGGGAGAATAATTTATAATTAAATAAAAATATTTCCAAAGTAGTTCTTATTACTAGTAATTCTTCTTCCATTAGAAGATTTAACTGGAAAACACAACCACTTTAAATGAAAAAATTACTTCTTCCCCAAAAATATAAACAATGAATTTAATTAATATTCTTATAGAGCAACCAAAAACTCGAAATTAAAGACGGTAAAAAGAATAATAATAAACAACATTAGCAATCAGCAACATGCAATGTACATTTTATGTTCGCGTAGATATAAGTCCCCCATTTTCTAAACCCCTCGTTTTTGTTAAGAAAAATACCACACAAAATTCCAATCAGGGATTTACAGAGACGTGAGTGAGTGATGTGATTTAAAAAAATTGCAAATGAAGATTTAAAAAAAAAAAAAAAAAACCATGCTCAAATTCATATAAACAAAATCCAGAAGCGATTTACAGAAACAAAATTCATGTGACAGATAAACTGACCTGGGTCTTTCGATAGAATTGAGGTAGATGAGTGACGAGGAAGTGGGGTTTCAGCTGGTTTTGAGTGAGGGAAGTGCCATGTCTGAAAAAAGAAGCGTCGGGTGGCAGGCTGGCAGCATTTAAGGCCTTATATTAAGCCCTGTTATAAGTTTTGGAGTACTATCTTTTTTTCAGAATTGGTAATTGAAAAAGGATGAATTTTTTTTTTATTTATGTGTAATATTATTTTATAAAAGATTGTTTGGCTAAAAATAAGATTGAGAAAAATTATAATCTGAAATAATGAAAGACAAACGAGAGCTAAAATTGAATTATTAAATCTAATCTTTCATTTTTTTTAACTAATCAACTCGTGTTCTTTCTACTATTCAGGTAAATCTTGAAGATTTTTCAGAAAAATTCAACTATTGAATCAAATTTTCTAAGTTAGTTATATGCTTGCTGGCGGGAGTATAGTACAAAAATTTTCTTTTCTTGTTGTCAATATATTGAAAAAACAACTCAAGAATCATAGTACAACAAGAATTTGATCGAATTACAGATTTCAATATTTTGGCATTGTGCTGAATTGATTGACAGTATTTTGATGGCTTACTACTGTGAAATACTAAAGTAAGAAGTTAAATACCTAAATCAACTATGTAAAATGTCAACGAATTGTTGAAGCTATATTATAATTTATCAGTCTTTCATTTCTAAATTTGCTTGCGCAGATTACTAGTGGCATTAGTACGAGTTTATTGACAACACGAGGGTGATCCGTTGTGTTGGTTTTAATTTCTATCCTTGTTAATAGAACATCTTGTTGAAAAAGTCACCGATACGTCACAAAATCAAGCTTTTATTACGTTTCTTTGAAAAGGAAGAAAAGTTCCTTTCAATTTAGACATAGAAAATGTGCATTAGATTATAAATTTCGCAGATTGGCTAATTTTACAATACACACATATATATATAGCTGCAAGTAATTTATCTTGAAACAGCGATGTGAACTCTTGGTTGAACAATTGGCTTCTTGAGAAATTTGAAGAGGAAAAACTAATTTATGTCTAATCGTGTTTTTTCTCAAGCAATATGGAATTGAAAATGAAATGAGTGGCCTTAGTAAAGAGGTTATTCTATCGTACGCATAAAACACAAGTGAGGTCAAGTTAGAGGCACAATTTTTGGGGTACTTTTAAAATTAATCTGGTCAAAGGATCTAAATTACACATTGACTTCCCAACAAAGGGATATTATGAAATTGGCATATCAAATGTTAAAAGACAAAAATACCCTTAAATACATTATACAAAAGTTGATTTTTTTTAAAAGACATGAATACCCTTTCACTTAATAAATAAAAACCAAACACTTCCTACATTTCTTATCTGTATACTTCAACACAGATAAATAAAATACTCTCATCCTTCATCTGCTTCAACTGCAGAAACTTAAAAATTTATCGAAATCGGAACTCGAAAAATTTGTGGACATCAATCTCGTCGGTTCGGTAAATTTATATACGCAAATTTAATCTCGTTTTTGTTAAATTATTGTATGTTTAAATCGATAAATTGTATTTCAAAATTTAATGATTAGTAAAAAAAATGTAATAGATCTGTGATTTTTGAAGATTTAACCGGAAAAAATTCATCTGCATATATGCCGACGCCGGTGAATAAACTGTTTGACTGACAGCCAGTCAAACAGTCGGCTGTTATGGCCGGCTGTTTTCTTCTTTCCTTCCCCTTTTTTGGGTTATTTTTATTGCTGTTGATTTTTGTCATGTAATTAAAAATTATGTTTCAACATGCAGATATGGTTGTAGTCCCAATTTGTTACTTTGATTATTTCGATTTGGACGAAAAAGATCAATGAGTATGGAAATGGACGAGTGATAAACGTGGTGGTATCGCAATTTCCATATCATCAGGTACATCGTACGCAGAACTCTATAATAATTTATAGAATAAGTTGAATGTTGATCCTTCTCAGTAGAACATGGAATTGAAATTTAAATTCAGCGAGCATGCATCAGTTTCGATTCCACCTATAATGATTTCTTCTGTTGATGAAGTGAATTATCTGATTGAACTGAACAATATGCACACGACTCCTCTTTGTGTGACTTTAGTAAGGAAGGATGTCGTCGAAGATGAACAAGTAGACTCGGGAGGTGGGGATCACAATGCTAATGATTTTTGGGATACGGTGGAGATAGCTCGTGAAGATGATGTGGTTATTCCAGCGATAGTTGCACACAGAATTCTCTCCGCTACTCGTGACAACGAGAATGAAAATGAAAACACTTT